GTACATAAGCCTTTAAAAACAGCAGAAACTATTTGTCTGCTCAGCAGGAATAGGTCTTTGCAATTGTTACCTCTTTAAGTGGTGCTTTCCAAGGTAACTATTACTATTATTATTGCACATACTCAGAGTTAGTGATTTGAACAACTCCCTAAATCTAAATTAAACATGTCTGTTCATGCAAAAGACACAAATGATACCTGAAATCACACGGATTGCTGAGGAGAGGTGTAATATGAGAGAGTTCAGCCCTGTGGTTTTCACTTGGTTGGCAATAAAAATATCTGCTTATTTTATCCCTAAATTGAAGGAAGGACCCAAGTCAGAGACCAGAATATCACAGAGACTTGAGGGTGGAATCAGACTAGAAAGCAAACACCTAGCAACACTTTTGATCCATAATCACAGGTCCAAAAAAAAAAGCAATATAAAACCTGAAGTGTTTCTGTTAGCGCCGGCTATGGAGTCAGACATGAGGGAACACTGCGTGCATGAGCGCGAGATCATTATCAAGCTCTACTATTCTCAAAAATGGCATTCTAAACACAGTTAAATATGTAGATGTTGCTAGAATAATTCGTTTAATCAGAAAATGGTCCATCTAATTAATGGAAATGTCATATTAATTTCTACTGTGCATTAGACCCTTTCAGAGCTACAGAACGAGAGGATGCCAGAGGAGCAGAGCAAAGCACGAAAAATCATTTGATTTATGAGAGCAGCACTTAAGACACAGAGGAGAAAATGTTATGCACCGCGGCTTCCAGCCAAGGAGCTATAGTAATTTCCTCAACGGCAGGTACACGCTCAAGCGAACAAAGCTACAATCAAATTGCTTCACTGCACAGCCTAAAAACTCGTTTAATGTCATACTTATGCCTATTCTTCGGGTTTCGTGTGACACCCGAGTACTTCAGTCAGTAGATTTTGAAGCAGGTGTCTGTCATGTGGCCCCAAGGGTCTCAGAGTTTCATCCTGCATCACGTTCATCCGAGGAAACCCAGCTGCTCCTGTGAAATTTCCATGATGTATGTTGTTATTACTTTAGTCAATCAGGGATCAAAAGCTGAATATGAGTGATGAATCAGCTGCCATTAAAACATCCTTAAACACCCACATGAGTAATAAATACTCTCATCCGCTGATGACTCAGGTTCTGGGAGTTCTGTTGAAGTCTAATTCAAGTTAGTTTCAAGAGCTTTTTAACCACAGAGGCATGGTATTTATTCTTCATTACAGCTAAACACATTGTGAAGTAGAGTTTGTTGCCCTTTTAAAATTTGCATTGACATTCTTGCTTAGGTTTCAGGCCTAATACAACCAAATGTCGAACAGCAGTGAACCAGGTTAAACCCTGAACATTTATGGAGAACCTGTTAGGTGAAGACGAGACATTGATTTAAAAGACAGTTCACCGTAAAGTGACTTTTAAAGGTGCTGTATGTAGGATTGACACCGAGTGGTTGAACTAGGTATTGCAGTCCAAATTCAAAATATTGGAGAGGGTTTTTT